GTTCAAAAGTATGACTCAAAAATTTGATGCATAATAATAATATTAAGAGGAATTTACTAATACTAACTATATTTTCTCTGCTGTAGATATGTAAATAATAAAATTATACCCATTTATTTGCCAAGAGTTTGTCGAGCGTGCGTTCACTCAAGAGCTAGAAGTTCTGCGGGAAGCACTTACGCCATTGTCAGAAACTTCTTTTTTCAGTGAAGCTGTTGTGAAATACCTATCTGAACTTACTGCATCGGAATCATTCACAGAATTCAAGGTTGCCGTTGAGGTGAAGTTTCCATACAGAGATGAAAAAGAAAATTATAATTACATTGAGAACCCGGATATCGATTTAATATGGATGTACGGTAGGGTACTTTGGCGCCAGTTTGAGATCACATCACTTTTCAAGAATATTCCAGAACGCCAATGGACAATTATGGTTGTGGAGAAGCATTTTGCAACGGCATTGGCTAGTATACCAGAGTGTTTTTGGGAACCAAATGAAAAAAGAATTTGGCAAACTCTTGAGGCAAAACCGTATAAAAAATATGCTGACGGAATCTTTAAATGTGAAGCAACAAGAATGGTTTTGTTCATCCTAGAGGTCAGCGGAGGGCCGGGAGGCGCACCTGGATCAAAACTACGAGGTGATCGTGAAAAATTTATGAAATATTTTACATATTTGTTTGACAAGATGTTGGCCCTGTTTCGGTGGACGATTGCGATGGGGTTTCCTTGTGGGCAGGACAAGTTTACTGTTAGTATTTGTAATGCATTTATTTAGGCATAAAGATGACAAACAATTAATTGATTGGTCTTTCCTTGCTATAGATGAACAATGTAAGATATTTAGATGCTTCATTGCAAGTCCCCAGAAGTATGTTATTCAAGAAATCAAAACTATTGGCCTTATCACATCAAGCAATCAACTGTACATGGCAGAAATATGGATAAGGTTGCTTGGGCTCATCCGAGTAAGCTATGTTTTAGTTAATATTTAATAGATTTGGCATATTAAAATATTAAATTCATTCTGATATTATGGTGAACTAGTATAACATTACCAAGAGTATCTACAAGTATCGGCAACGTCAACGTCAATCAAACCTTCGAAATGACAGATCATTATATATTAAGACCAATCTTTCTCCAAATAAGAAGCGTTGCGTTAACCGAGAATTAGACTGATATCATGTGACGCAGGTACCTATGTTTTATGGCTGTTATTTTTTGCAAATGTCTTACTATGCTTGATCTAGTTGCTCGGTGGCTGGCAGGGGTACAGAATCACCATTAGCTCTTTCGTCGTGTTGGTTGCCACACTTTCGTTCTTATGAAAGCCGACAAGAGGAGACAAGGAGCCAGTCAACACTGACTGTTGGCCTCTTACCTTTACACTTCCCCTAAGCGTTGAAAGGCGTTAGGTTAGGCACACGGGGGGTGTCTGCCATCACTGTCCCCACTCTACTTTTAACAAGCTACCACACTATCGGTTGAACAAGGGTACAGAGTCACCATTAGCTCTTTCGTCGTGTTGGTTGCCACACTTTCATTCTTATGAAAGCCGACAAGAGGAGACAAGGAGCCAGTCAGCAATGACTGTTGGCCTCTTACCTTTACACTTCCCCTAAGCGTCGAAAGACGTTAGGTTAGGAACGCGGGGGGTGTTTGTTCAATTAGAACTTAAGGGTTTTACAGCAGCAGGGGAGTTGTCTTACCCAAATGGTTCAGCAGATTGTGGTTATATTTTGACCGTTGGAAGAATTCTAATTGTGACAAATGTCCTCTAATTATCCATAACTTTCATTGAGTTGATACTATAGGAAAAAGATCGCGAAAAGATTAAGACTGAAGCAGTTGGATAAGTGTGAGGCTTTGCTAAAAAGAAAACAAGATTAAGAATGTGAGTATTCACACATCTAATGTTTTCATTTCCTAATCGAAACCATTTACTTTTCTGACTCTAATACTAAATTGTTTGTTACGTCCTTTTCCCGACCACTCATTGTTCACTTCTACTATTTTTTTTTGACTTACTAAACTGTTTATTTCTATCTGTTCCTGAACATGTTAATACCGAATCGTGACTTGCAAAAACTGTAACTGGTCCAATCAACACATTAAATAACTAAAGATTTATATAATCGAGGCAATGCAATCAATTATTTACAGTGTGCTTATCACGTTTATTATGCACAGATAGATTAATGAGCAGTTAAGCTGTTCGAGCCCATGCAAATAGAACCGTCGAATATACCGGTAGAGATGAAACAAACGTAATGTAGGGCTCAAGTTTGCTAAGTTTATTGTTGCGATCTGCTGTTATGATTGTCTAACACTGGGGGGACATACTTTTTTTCCCAATTGACATGTCAAGGGTTTGAACCCACCACCCATTCCAGACATACTGATTGTAACATTTACTCGAAATTCAAGTCGCGTATCAATGCTGCCGCTGCTAGTGGTCGACATGCGATCCTACGCCCGTCATGCCTCGATGATACAAACATCCTCCAACAATGTCTTGCGACCATCCAGAAAATTTGGTCGGATAATTCTCATTAGTTCTGTTACTATCGTCGGCGGGATAACCCTGGCGGTCTTAGACTATAAGCGTGCCGAAATGAGTCTGCTGCTCACGAGCAAAAGGTATTGGAGGCTTCATTGCTGACCGGTGGGCCAAAGAACCTGCGAATTGCTTTGTACATGATTAATGAGAAGGATTACGAAACGGATAAGCCGCGATTGGCTATTTTTGGAACTGGATGGGAAGGGTGAGTTTGGGGTATCTGATTGTGTAGGCCGGGACTTGGGGAGAGGGGGGGGTGTGAGGGGGTATTTGAAGGCGAGAAAAGAATTTTAGGCTTACAAGAAAATTATGTTTGCGTTTCAATTGATGTTTTTTTTTCTGTGCCTGGATTGTTTACCAGGTTGTATCAGTCCTAAAAGGTCGAATTTGCTGCTGAATTGTATGATTTCTTAACAGAGGAAGTTGTAAAATATGTAAGTTTTGGTTGTTGTTGTACCCTTGATGGTAATATGATTTGTAATACATGGTGTATATTGTTCTTTTTATATAGTTTCCTAGAGTTTTACGTGACGAAGTGTCTGTGGGCATTATACAAAGTATACCGAGGTGAGATGATTAGACTCCGAATGTCTTGTCATTTATTGCGATTTGTTAGTGACGCCCACTAAGCAACATTATATCAACTGTCACTATTACTCTTGTTGGTCGTTTGATCTTTAGCAATATTCTATTCGGATAATGAGACATAACTGCATTAGCCGCCAGAAAGTGTAATAAGATTACATACAATGTTTCACGATTAGGATGATGATTCCATATCGAATGTATATAATCGAATAACAGTTTTGGTAGGTTAAAGGTGAAGAGGGTTTCAAGATGCAAACCTCGAAATTATATTGAATCTTTGATGTTCATATTCAGCGCGCTTATACTTACCCTAATAACCTAGGAACCTTCCATCTATTCATGTGGGCCCCAAAGTTCAATGACTATGTTCAAGATTTCAAGAATACTTACGTCGAAATTAGTATGCCTGCATGCAGCACAAAAAATATTGCTAATTTAGCCTTTGGAATTGCTCAAAAATATTAGACAACATTGACCTTTACTATTTATTGGTAAGTGGAAGATAATGGTAGAGTCGTGGTAGGAACCATATAATGTGACGAAGTTCCTGAACCGTAAGCCTACTACTACTATTGGTTATGGCTATTCACAATTACTTTTGATGACAATCGCTATTAATTAATCCTTTCTATTGATTCCAATATTTTCGCAGTCAAGATGTTCATTCAGCAAAACCAACTCGTGCCGTTCCGGTAAATCAAGTCGTGCTCAGCGCCTGCTTACAGATTACAATTGTCGCCTAGGCAATGTGTTGATATATCAGTTGCATTTGCATCACAAAGATCACTTACAATTGAGGAATAAAACTTTAAAGTCTAATGTGGAAAAAAGAATTGGCCAAACTAGAAGAATTGAATAAGCTGGTAGTGATGATGCGAAGAGTCAATGGTTGAGACTAGAGCTATTAAGCGGTTTGTATTTTTTGATCAAGTTCTTGAAACGTAGAGAGTATGTATGTTTATTAATTTACAATTTGTCAATAGGGAACTGTGAATATGCGGCACGTGGCAGTCTAAGCGTTTGCTCAAAGTCGTCTGCGAGTAAAGTAACTTGGTATCAGATAGTTTCCGTTAGCCAAACAGACTATCATTCGTTTATCTTTCATTCATGGGGAGAGAATTTTCCAGAGTATGTCGCACATATCTAGTTTGAAGTTTCGTCGTGTATTAGATGATTACTTACGCGGTTATTATAATACCTCATTATAGTTAACTGTCGAGTTTAGGCTTTCGCACTGAGTCGTGGTTCCAGTATATGGCTTAGCAGCCAGAAACTTTTAATCTGTTCGTGTGATGTGTCGATTATAGAAATCAAGTTTGCACAATTCGAACACGATTGTTTGCTCTGTTGGGCCGCAAGATATATTCCAGTCTCTGCAACGCCACTCGTCAAAATCATGGAACTATAGTAAGCGTGAACGCTCTGGGTAGTATAAATCATTGCAAGCAACTGCAGAGGAGAGAGAAATTTATAATAAAATTAGGAAATGGGGATTACTATTTCTCGAGACTAGGCATTGAAGCGAGAGCGCAGGAAGAAAAGGAAAGAATTGGATGCAAGAATTCCCATTCCGAAAGTGATCCACTAGAACAAGCTTTAATTCGTGTGCAATTGTTGAACGTCATCCCATGGAATGATTTAAATTTCCACTAAATCGTATTCCGCAGGTTTTTGGAGAGTGGGAAAGGGAATCCAATCTGCGGTGATAGTCTTTCGGTCTCCAATCATCCCATGATCAACCACTACACACCCAACAAGAATTGGAGAGTTAAGGCAGCATTTTGTTGGTATGATCTTGTTTTGTCCAATGGTCAAATGATAAGTGATATCAAGAGTGAACGAATTGATATTAGCGGTTTGCAACACAGATTAATAAACGTTGTTTTACATTCAATTTAAGCAAAATGATTGTTAAGAAACGGGTCAATTATCCCCCAAAATATGTTCACATCACTTTGGTTTTCTTGCAGCGCGTCTCTTGTCAATGTGGTTCCCATCTCGGGACATACTGCTTCCGATGTGCGGCTGGAGTCATTCTCTCATTGTCTCTCTATTCTAACGATTATTAGGTCGATTCTTTCAACTTTATACCGATATATAATAAATTCTCGCTATACTCTTAATTAAAGTCATTTTTTTTATACCGATCTTAATTAAAATGACTTTATATACCGATACTAATAATAAAAGTTTTAATACTGATATTTTTTTTTGACCGAACGAAATTTATCGGTATAAAGAGATTTGACCTTATAGCGACTCGATTTATTCGTTATTTTGACCATTTGCCAGTTCGTGTGGTATGCAAACATTAAAAATGTCTCCCTCTGTGTCTCTTATTATGAGTTTTCTTTAAAATCCAGGTTGTTGGCTGGCCATTCAGCAATACGACTAGTATGCTTTGGATCATCGTAGTTGGCAATTTGATAAAGAACGACGCGTTTTATGGTTACTATACGATTAAAGTCACATAATTACAATGACTTATTTTCAAGATTGCAATGCAGTTTATGTAATTTTCTAGTCCTGTTTTACTGGAACCCCCTTTTTTTTATGCAAAACATTCAGTGTTGAATTTCTTATGTGTTTGAAGACAAGGACCTAAGACGTGCTTGAGAGTTATTTGT